TTTGTGTTGAAACAAAGCCATCCATTCAGCCAACATTTATAGAAATACACTGAACTGGGCATCGTGCTAGGGGCTAAAGATAAAGAGATGACCAAGGCAATGGTCCCTGCCCTCCAGGAGCTCACAGAGGAAACAGACTGGAAATAACCAATTCCATGAGTACAGGGCAAAAGAGGGAAGAACGAGGCACAGAAATGAGAAAGAACTTGAGCTAGGCCTCAAAAGTAAGTAGAAAAGTTAAGAAGAGTCAACCCTAACCCTATGGTTGTAGGACTCAGACTAGTGGTCGCCTCTGATGGGGGTGGGATGAGTGATTGGCAGAAGGAGCACGAAGGAAGTTTCTGGAGGGATGGAAGTGTTCTGCAGCTAGACTGGGATTGGTTACATGGGTGCATACATTTGTCAAAACTCATCGAACAAACTGTACACATAAGATCTGTGCATTTTACTATATGTAAATTATATCTCAATATATATAAATACAGTTAGTTTAGTGAAAAATATCTTTTAAAATGAGTAGTACAGGAAGGGGAGGGGCCTTCAGGCCGAGAGAACCTCATGCTCAGGGGTTTGTAGGTGCAGGCAGCATGGTGACTGTGGTAACCTGCCGACCGCTGAGTTTGGCTGGCTTTTAGGGTGTGAGGTGAAGCATGTGAGATCAGGTGGTTAGAGCCTTCTATGCCATAGAGAGGAGTCTTGACATGATCCTACCAGCCACAGGTACCACTGAAGAGTTCCAGCCTCCTCCCCAGGTGGCTGAGACTGCGCTGCCTTGGAGGCTAGGAGTCCATTGCCCAGTTGGGTGGAGAGAAGCAGGTCTCCCACATTCCCATCCCCTCAGAACTCTGCCCGGAGGGGAGGGAGGGAGGGAGGAAAGAGGAGAACAAACCAGAGGAATAGCACAGCCGTCAACTTGCGCTGTACCCAGTGCCCTAAAAGGTAATCAGGGAAGAACAGGGTTTCCTACACCCAGGCTGAACTCGATCAACTCTCCTCCCCAGGAGGGGAGGCCACCCACAGTTTTTGTCCTGACCCAGCAGGGAAATGACCCCCAAGGACTGTCTTTTTCAAGTCTTCAGGTATGATCTCTCCCTCCTCATCCAGCCTCCTCACGATATGTGCTGCCACTGCTGTTCTTATGCTTCTGAAGCTAGAAGTGGCACCCAACTGCGCATCCTGCAGGCCTAAGCACCTCTGCCAGGGAGTAAGGAATTCCTAAATCTTTCTGCACCTTTGCTGTACCTCCAAACTACAAGAGGCTTTTCCTAGCTATTTCTCCCACTTGAAGCGTGATCCCTCCACGTCCCGCATATTCTGGCCGTTGTCCATGGCGGCACTCAAACTCCTCTGACTCCTTTTTTAACACTGCTGACCCTCTCTGACCTCTCCCTTACCTGGACATCTGTTGGGACGCCAGGCAATAATTTCCTTTCACCTCTCCCTCCCCCTATGTTGGTTCTGTTTCCTCAGCCAGGGGGAAATATAAGGTCATTAGAGTCAGGGAAGAGCCTCAAGAGCTGTTACTTCCCCCACCGACTTGGGAACATAGTAAATTCTTAATAAATATTTATTGGTAGATTGTTGATTGAATTTGGAACATCCAGACCACTGTGGGGATCGTCTGTGCCAAATCAGAAGCTGAGAAAATGTTTTCAGCAAAGACCCAGTCTAGACACCCATCTCAGTGGAAAGGGTGGTGCTGGGGGTCTGAGGGGCTGAAGGAGATGGAAGGCAATGTGGCCGGGATGTTGCAGGATGTTTAATCCTGACCCCAGCTTTGCCTGGATTGCTGACCCCAGATGACCCAGGCTGCAGAGCTGTGTCCACACACCCTCCATTAAAGAGAGCGCAGCTGCCCTGGAAGCCCCGGGCAAAAATGAGGTCAGGGTCTGTCAAAGCTGAGGCAATTCAGGGGTGAGCTCAACCTGCTGGATTTACAGCAACTGTTGAGTCATTACTGAAATTTCCGTTATGAACTGACCTACCTGCTGGGAAGAGAATTTGGGATAAATTGTGAACTTCAAAAAGTTTCTGCCTGGAAACTGAAGAGGTAACCATGGCAACCGGGAGGCAGGTTGAACTCAGAGAGGGCTCTTCATCTTGAACAGGGAGCTCTGTGCTCCCGGATTGGATTTGCCTGTCTGCATGTGCCCCGCTCATCAATCCTTTGTCTCTTTGCTTTCTTTGTTGAATGGGAGAAAGCGCTGGCTCAGGGATCTGGAAATGGGGCCCTGGTTTCAGCTGTTTCCAGTTCCAGTGCACTTGACTCAGGGGGCCTTAGGCACCGCTGTTTTGTTGTCTGCGAAATGTGAATTAAAAAGCTCCTCTGGCCTATTCACGGGGATGCAGAAAGGACAGGAAGGTTTGAGGAGGTTCTCTGTGTGATCGCTATTGTTGTTGTCATGGGGCCATGTCTGGGCTGATTCCAACGTGGTGAGACTGGTGGTTCAGTCCATCCGTAAACTCGTTTTTGTCGCTTGAAGAAAAGCTGTCCCAGACACCGCCCACATCCCCACCTGAGCTGCATAATAAATACGTGCACTGGGGCATGAGCAGCACCAGGTGGAACAACAACCCTCACCTCAGCTGACAGACTCCTCCAGCAGAACGTCCTGCTGATGGGGCCGCGTGGGCTGTGTCATCGTGTGGATGAAGGACTGTGCTGAGAAACACAGACCACTGCCCCCCTCTCCACCCTTACCCATCTCCCTGCACCCATCATTCCAGCCCTGGACTTGTGAGAGAGGAAGAACAAGAGCCTAGGTTGGCGAGATGGGGGTGAGGGTGGGATGCTGGCATCTGAGACAGTGCTGCCAATGTGGGAGCTGCTGCTGGACCTGCCCCTTGCTCCACTAACCACCTGGGAGGTTGGCGAAGGGTTCGACTCTGGCTTTTCAGAGTGCATTCTGTTTTGACCAACCAGGTCATCTTCTGCAGGCCCTGGCTTAACAAGGGAATCTGCTTTGACAAAGGACCCCACACATTGTCTGATTTGGGCCTCTCTTGCCCTAGCAACGCCTTAATGACTGTCTTGTGGGCCTTCTTCTTCTCTTCCCCTCTGTGGTTTTTCTCTTGCCTTCCCCGACTAGCTTTTCTGGGGCTCCTCACTGAGCTCTCTCAGGTGGGGAACCTCTTCTCCTCTTGTTTCTCTCCTTTCTGACCCTTTACTTCCAGGACTTGCTGAGGAATAGCAGCTCTTAGAAGCCCCTCATGAAATAAAAGCCTAAATTCCAAGAGACACAAAACTCACTACTTCTCCTTATTGTCTAGCAATCTCCGTATCAAGTAAACCTGGGAGCTAACATTTATCGGGTGCTGACCGCGTGCTGAGCGCTGTTCTAAGTGCCTTACGTGTTGCAGGTGCCGCGGCACACCGTGCAGAGCCCTGTTTGGGACTGAGGCCCTCATCCCCCAGCCTCCAGCACGTCATCTGCTGCAGGCTCATAGCGCAGTCTCTCTCCAGGAGTTCCCTTGACAGAGGGAGAGTTGCCTTGCCTAAGATGAGGCCATCTTCTTGGGGCAACTGCATCCAATGAAAGGTTGACGAAAGGACTGCCCCCTTGCCTCAGTGGGGGACAGCTCCAAAGGGCCGTGCCACTCCAGAGCATCCCCTGGGAACAGCTTCTGTCTCTGTTGCAGTGGCATGGCATTCAACTCCTCCCTCTGCCCAACCCGGCTTCCCTCACTCTCTCTCAGTTCCCAGAACTCTCCCCAGCAAGTCCCTGCCTCAGAAGAACTGTTTCCTGGAGAACTTGAATTAAGAATTAGCTTATTTAGACCTCACAACAACTCTATGAAATAAGTGTATTATGTTCTCATCTTAGAGACGAGGAAACTGAGGCATGGAAAGGTGAAGAAGCTTGCCCAAGGTCTCCCATCAGTAAACAGTGGAGCCTTGATTTGAAACCCAGAAATCTAGCTCTAGATCCCACACTCTTAACCTCACATGCAACCCCTTGGTAGCAATCCCAAAGGGAACAGAGGGACAATGGGGGAGGCTGTAATGCCTTTATGGGAAGGTGAGGAGAGAGGCAGAGCATTTACCACATTTATCTCAGAGATGAGATGCGGACACTGAACTAGCAACCGCTTAAACCCAGGATCACTCATCAGTTACGGCGGTAGCAGGATTCTAATTTTGGAGGGGGTGGGGCAGTGGAAAAAGCATGGTAAATTCATATTTGAATTCTGGTGCAACCCTTACTAATTGTGCAACTTTGAGTAAGTTATTTAACCTGAGTCTTAATAAAAGTGCCTGGTACATAGTAGATGCTCAATAAAGCCTCCCCCGCCAAGTGTCTGCTATTGCCAACTGTGATCTGGGCAAGTCTCCAGCTTTCTCAGTTTCTTCATCTATAAGATGGAGGTAATGATGAGATGATGCTAAAGGGCTTCCTTAGCCCTGTGGCCATCCGGGTAGGAGTATAGTAAATAGTAGTTATGAGTATAATCATGATGCCGTCTTGCCTGGCTTGCACTCTGTGCTTCTGTCCTTCAGGACCCAACAGGCTCAGGATCCGGCTGTGATCGATAAC